ACCTGAAAAAAGCTTCTCTGCTCAGGAGAGGTGAGCTGTTTCAGACTCTAGTTTACTGTGGTCAGGAGTCAACACAGTATGAACAAATAAATGCATATCTGCCTATAGTTTTACATTCAGTTGCCAGCTGGCAACGCAGTGCCTTTAAGTATGACCATCTTCCAAAGCAGCTCACGCGACACAATCATTACAAAGGCAACTTCAAGACGAATCACAGTGTAATTCTTATTCAGCAACAAATCAGGTTTTTTCAAAAGGTCAGCATTTTGAAATAACTCAAAATGTAGTGCTTGGGTCACGTACATATATTACACTTTACAAATAAAGTAGGAAACTGGCATTTGGCTCTCTATCAGCAATGTGCACTGCATCTGGAGATGTTGGCTGGTTTTTAATAAAACACAAATCACAGGGACAACACCTCTATGTCAAGCATGGCACCAGTGTACAGAGGAGAGGTTTTTGGCAAGCAGATTTACACCATGCACAGTACTGTTGTATTGTATACACACACCCGTACACAGACATCAAATCAACAAGTGGTGCGTGACAAAGAGTATTTGGAGACAAGGGTATAAACATCAGTACCTTGAAGTGTGGATTAAGGATGCATGTTGCTGGTTGGGGTACTACAGTAATTACGTTTTTTTACTCTAATTATATAGCATCAATAGAGTCTACACTTATGTTAAAATATTTCTTTTTTTTCTACAGACTTACAATTAAATTTTGAATTTAAAAATTGCAGATGCATTTTCTGTGGTATATGTCACCTTTCACCCACCTCGAAGGAAGGCGCTATTAAAGCCACCAACAACAGCATCACAGAAGTACCCTCCATCAAAAACATGACAGATTTACTGAAGCTGTCGTAAAACAAGACAAATATCCACTGCAGAATATTCAGAAGAAGAAGAATAGATCATCAATAAAACACAAAATGTGGCCCAACAGACAGCCACACACACACACACACACACACACACACACCCGGTACATCAAAGTTTAACCCATGTACAATATCACAGTGGGATGTGAGGTTGACATTTTCCTCTCTAGTGCAACTCTCCTCTCTACAGACCCACTGTTTCACTGTTTCACACGCTAAACTCCAGTTTTTTGATCGGTCTCCATTTCTTTTACCACCCTTTATGTTGCAAGATTAAAACCCTGTTCGAGTCCTGATCTTTAAAAGAGGACAACATTTGAGTGTTACAGTAAGAATTCAGAGCTTACTGGCCTGAAGAATGAGCAGCCAGACTTATTCGTCTAAGCCAGCTGACAAATGAGTCAGTAGTGATGCTGCATGGGTGTGGAGGTCTCATTTCCTTTGCCTTGACCATTCAAGGAGGGTCCCACTCAGAGCTGGAATGAGGGCGATAGGTAGGTACATGTCCATGGAGCTGGGTGTCTGTCGTGACAGGCAGCAGATCCATGCCAAACTTACAAAGGAAGATCTGTCAGTCTCAATATCTGGCTTCTAACTCTGCTCCTCTTCTGCATCAGGGGTGTAGTTCATATGCCCGTGGCTTGTTTTTGGCAAAAGATGCCTCTTATGGGGATGCTGAGACAAAGGAGAAGAAATGTGAGGGATTGACAAAGTAGAAGCAGATGAATAAGGGGTTGAAAGAAAAGGAAAGAAATCTTTATAGTCATACAGTCCTTAAGTAGCCCCAATATTATTTAAACATTATGTCTAACCTGAAAATGTCGATGTAATGATCACGGGAGTGTGGCTAACAGTTCTGCAAACAGACATGGAGAGATGATAGCACGGTTAATATTGACAACAGATCACCTGTAACAACACAAAATATCAGAGTAGGGCTTCAACTAATGATAATTTGTGTTATTGATTAATCTGTCTATTCGGTTATCAGCAATGCTAGCAGCATGGTTTTATGGATTCCAATGTTTATGGTTGCAACTACTGGATGGATTCTTTTTTTCCGACATTCATCCTCCCCAGAAGATGTACCTTGTAATGTATTGACCTTGGTGATCCCCTAATATTTCCTCTTGGGCCCCCAGGAGGTTCACATTCGCTGTTTGGAATAAAATCTGGTACAGACAATCATGTGCCCCTCAGGAGAAACTGTAACAACTTTAGCGACCCCTAAACTTTGAATCTAGCTGTCCAATACTTTTTACCAGATACCTGCTAAACTAATGGCATTCCCAAAAGCCTCAGCTGTAGTTTGTGTTTAGTGCTAATTACTATATATTAACATATTATCATACTAAACTTAGATGATGAACATTATACCTGCTAAACACCAGTACGTTGGCATTGTTATTGTGAGGATGTTAGCAGGGTGACATTAGCATTCACCTCAAGGCACTGCCGTAAATCACAATTTCCCAAACCTCAAGGTGACATCTTCAAAACCCAAAGATATCACACAAAACCAAAAAAATATGAAATTTTTTTGTAGAAGTAGTGACTATTTGATCTTTTTACTCCTTAAACAATTCATTAGAAGGAATATTATTTCAAGAGACTTTTTGAACCATCTGAGTGTCACCCAATGACTGATGCACAGGACTTTGTCTCACCGATGAGAACTTGTGCTCCTGCGAGGAACGCTCTGTCTTGGGCTGGCTGTCTGTCCCTTTTGGCTCTGATGTCTTCACTCCGTCCGGTTGCTGCTGAAGATGAGGAGCTGCTGGGAGGGAGGCAACAGATGTGTGGCTGTCATGGTTAATAAACTCATGCATATAATGCTGCCAGCTGTTCTAGCCGAAAAAAAAGGAATAAGCATGCAAAAGATGAATGGATCAGAGTGAATCATTAGTGATAGGAAAAAAACGGAGCATAACAGAAGTTGTGTGGGAATCACAGATAAGTTTGCAATGCTGTAGTTTTTAGGCATAGTAAACTTCATTCATTTATGAAGAGCGTGCTAATTTACACAGACTTCGCCTTCTGTTGTTGGCAGTGAGCTCCACTGGTGCAGCTAAGGTGAATCACTCTACGTGGCCCCAATATTAATTGCTCAGGAAGCAGAGAGCGTTATTCTTACATCTGCCCCATCTAGATTTTCCCAAGATACTCTGGATACGTGAAACAGTCGACCTTTGGTAACTTGCCTGCTTCTCACACCCTCAGGCTATCACTGACCCAGTAATATGATCCTTCTCCTGCTAAACTCACCTGGAAAACTTCCCTGGCTGGTGCTGCATGCACTGTCCTCCACCGTAGAGCTGTACACAAATGAGTCTCTCTTGAGTGGTGTAACACAAGACACACTTTCCTGTAGGAGGGGTACCAACAAACAAGGACAAGAAAGACAGCATAATCAAAACCACAGCTCTACTCTGACAATATTTGCATTTGCATTTTTGCCCCTGTTGTGTGTAAAGTGAAATAAAAAGATACACACTTTTATATGTATTACTATGCAATACATGCAATACAATTCAGATCTGTCCTTACTGGGAAATAATGAAATCCATCAAACCTCTCACATCACAAGATTATTTTTTCCCCACAGTAAAAATGAGACAAATGTTAATGAAACCACGAATGTATCATCAGCTGTGAGAAGTTCTTCTGCTGTTTTGGTTTTGGGGAAGTGACATAAATGTATTCACTTTCATTATGTGTTATCACTCTGCCTGTCTCCACCCACCAGTCCAGTGTCGTACTCCTCGTCTGCCTCATGCTCCTCCACTACGCTGGCAAAGCTGCTGGCATTGGAGGAGGAGCGGGAAAGGTCCTGAGCCTCGGGGATGGACGCCGCCCTGCAACACATTGCCAAACTACACACCTGGGTCACTCTGACCGCTCAAACACCTCTGTTTTTCATATGCTGAATTTATTAAGGCAGCACAATCAAAAATATATTTTTCTTGTATTTCTGTATTTATTGCTTTTCCTTCCAAACATCTAATTAATTCATCATATTCATTTCACAGCACCTCAGGTAGCAGTGTGTTTGCATCCTTGCCAGGTGGCATAATCTTTTAAGCTGTTTTGGAGTTACTGCAACCCTCTATATTAGCTCTGTCTAGGGTTTGGAAATACTTACCAAAACGTACATAGTATATCACATACCAACAACAAAAAAATAAGTTCAAATGCAGCCTTCAAGACACAATAAAACAAAATTCAAGCTATCATGCCAGTATTATAATCATACATATCTTGTCTCATATCAGCTTTACTCCATGCACCTTTATAATTTTCTCTCATTTAAATGTAGTCCACTTTATTAAATACATCTATATTGTGTATATTATCACATCACAGTCAATCATTCTACTGTTTCCTGTCTTTTGTCTGAACTACACACCTGTATACATTCTGTCATACAGGTGCCTCCTACAGAATGAGAGGGGAGTATTGCATTTTATAAGCTATGGTGTTGTACCAACAATAACCAAACATGGATATTGTGAAAATGATAATGTGTATTTGGTGGCTTGCTTCAATAAAATGGCTAGAGAGGCTTATGACTATGATTACGAGGGTAATCGTCCATGTAATATAGTTGCTGTTTCAATCGACGTATACAAATGCATCCCTAACCACCCATCCAAGGGATCAATCATCACAAAGAACTTCTCAATGTGTGCAATATAATAGTGTATTATTGAATTTAAGTAATAGTCACCTGTTCTTAGTAGCAGGAAATTCTGGAGAACTGTGATTGGAGGAGTTGTCTGATTTGTTTTCCTGTGAGAAGTGGCTGCAGTCTGGTGTCCTCTGGGTGCTGGGAGACACCTCCCGGCTTCAGGACAGGGATGGAGATTAACACATGACATTACGGTAAGTTTACTTATTTCGTATGATCATAAGACATCAGACAAACTCTTAATGAATGTTATAACACATTCATATCATCTCAACATGCATTGTAAGGTATGAAGAAGTGGCCCTTTAATTGACATTTTTCCCTCATTAAAGTGAAAAGCTGTTTAACTGCTGCATCACAAATATTACATGAAATGAACGGCCCCATTTTAATCAAGAGGGACCTGGATGCAGACAGAAAGAGTGGCCATGGAGGCATACATCTTGGATCTCCTCAAGAGGCATCTCTGCAGTTGAGAGTAAATTACGTGACCTCAGCAGCAGGAGTTGGTCTTCTTTGTGACGTTTGCGTGTGATTTGCATTGGCGGGCTTAATCACTGTAACACATCACTGGTGGTCGCTCTCCATTTGAACGGACCTCCCACCTGTGCACTGTGCGCTCTGCACCATGATACCACACAGACTGGCAAAGTGGATTTCAAGGTCAGGAAAACACAGAAACTGTCAGAGCGCTGCTTGTGGTGGTTGTCGCTACAAAAAAAGCGCTCAAGCCTTACACACAGTAACAACTCATTTAGTATTCAAGCATATGCCATGAGGGGGTTAAGAATCTTCTGTAGAGTTGTTACAACCTAGAATTCATGTAAAATCATAGTTTTGTTAATTAAAACACAACAAATAAAATAAAGCATTGATAACCCCCCCCCCTTGATCAAAACTGACAGCCAACAAGAGTTTGTATCTTAACAGTGTATCTCCTAATGGCTGATTTCCTAATTTTAATGTCCTTGCTTCCATCTGTTGCAACACTATTCTCTCTTCACTACCCACTCCCTGCTGATCAGCTCTGCTCTCTCCTCTCACCTCCTCTCTTGGACCTCCTGGATGTTCTCGATGCCAATGGCGCTGCTGCGACGGGAGCTGAAGGGCCCAGACTTTTTCCTGGTTGGGCTTTTCCCAGGAATGATCAATGACTGACAGTGGGTAGGGAGAGGAAAGTCAGACGCACACCATGGGGACAGAATAACCATTTCACAAGCACAGCATAAATTATACTCAGTACATGACACAGTAGGCTACTGAAGTCAGACAGATATCTACATGTAGAAATATGCTGTGAAGGAATAATGAACTGATGGTTTGATAAATCCTGAGTTCATGTAATGACACATGTGGAAACATGTTTTACAAAAATGGGCTTCAGGCAGGAAGTGGTTTTACATTTTATATTCTCTTATTTTGACTCTTATGTCTGATAAAAAAAAGTTTTTATCATCTATCTGCCTTATAGCCTCCTGTTGGGTGTTCTATTTGATACTTATTTTAGGTACTGAGGTCAGACTGTGGAGTTAACTTGTTCAAATTTCAAAATGTCTCATAAACACGTTTAATTTAAGATGCAGTATGATTCATCAATGAGTGGCTGTGTATAAGAACATAAGTGGGCGTCTGATTACAATTTTCTGTTCTGAACTTCATACTTTTCTTTTAGTTTTTAAGAAGATATCTTAAAGGAAAATGAAGTAAAGAAATTCCATGCATTAGGCCCTGGTATCTGCTGCAATGAAATGCAAAACATAAATTAAGAAAATGCATCTGAAATGAAATCATCTACATGGACATCTGTTTACATTACAGGAAGCATTTGTAATAAGATAATTTAGCTTTAAGCCCTCAGTCTACGATGGATCATCCCCTCTCAGCCACACTGTATACATTAGCTGCTGTAAGAATGAGTGAAATGAGTGAAATAAATGAAATTATAATTGAAAACCATAACTAAACAAATGTCACTAACTTATTACACCTATATAACCGAAAACTGCTCACAGCCACAAGAACTAAAACAGGCACATTTTAAACTATAAACTACTAACTGCACACTTAAATTACGAAAAGACAATAGCAAAGACCAGAGACAAAAATAGTAAAAAAAAGGGATAAATATACATGAACCTCTTCTATTGTTCCTATCCCTATGGCACTGCCCCGGCGTCCATATTTACTGGGACTTTTCCCTGGAACAAGCAATGACTGAGCCACACAAGACAGGGCAAGGGGAGCATAGAGAGAGAGGAGATGATAGATTGAAAAAGCAAGAAGGGGAAAAAAAGAAAAAGAACACATCATAAGATCTCATGCACAAAGCACAAAGAATTTAAACAGCAAGGTGCAAAAGAGCTTGAAAAGGAGCTCGCAGCATGACTTAATAGACAAGACATGATATTAAGGAAATAGTGAGAAGCTTTTTAGAGCAAAAGCAGGCTGGGGTCCAACATAGGAGGGCACAGCAGGAGATGGAGTGCCACCGAGGTAGCAGGCATGTCGGCGGTTTCTGCCCTGAGGGATACAGGTCTGTTTAGTGATGCATTCAGAACGAGAAAAGGGCAATGCGGGCGGACAAAATCCAAAGGTAGCTTTTAGAAAACTTAGTCCTTTCAGAAACGGGGGTTAATTCGGTTCAAGTTCAAAACACCGTCATTAACCAAATCCCAAACTGCAAAGAATGTCAAACGAGTTGAAACATGATTATCCTAATCTTTAAGACGAAACAAGACAGCGTGCAGTGTGCTGTACTTGCATTTATGGCTTGTGCCATGCATACTGTGCAGCCACACATGCACATATACAAGACTGCGTAGAGAAGTTGTAACATTAACAGGAGGAAACAGTCATGACAAAGGCACAGCAAGGAGGGAGGGAGTCTGGGTAGTCATACAGCTGCTACACTGAGCTCACTTCAAGACTCAGGATATAGAAACTACACTGGGGCTCACAAGCAATCAGAGTTATCTTGCACTTAGAAGGAAATCATCAGATCCATTCCACAATGAAAACTCTATTTTTAACATTTAACTGTCACTCTATGTGGTGATGAAGATTCTGTCAACAGATGAAAATGAATGAAATGCTGACAATGAGTTATGCTGTTAATTTTCCAAACAAAAAGACTAGTCATTAACAGGAACACTATGAGCATAAATGGAAAAAGGCAATCAGTGAAAGCTGTTTGAGTACAAAGCAAGAGTGAATTTAAAATATCAGGAATGAAAGCGAGTGCTTTGATGTTAACATACTGATAGTGCTAAAATAAAGTGCTACAATGTGCCAACAGGAGTAATTTGCTAAAGTGCTGCATATAAGAAAGAATAGGGGTTAGACCAGTCCGTATTTGAATAAAGCCACTGTGCTGGTGAATGGTGAAAATGTACTGTATCCTCTATGTATGTGTTAGGTGGGCATCGTGAACCAAAATGGGCTACTTACAATCCCTGGGGTTTTGGGGCTCTCTGCGGGATTATGGGTAAAGCTGCCACTGTGACTAGTGGAGACTGTGTGTGACTTCTTGTTACTGAGGCCCATGGCGTCCATAGACTGGCTTCTGCTGCGGATGACCCGCTACAGAGAGAAACGAGGAGATACTGTCAGTGGATCCACTTTGTTTTTATGTGGAAACGCAACACACTGACCGATTTTTCAAAGTATTATCTACCACATATTTGTGACTCTATACTCAAACTAAGTCCAAATTATGCCAATTTCAAAAACTGACCAATATATGCATATTAGTAATACTTTGCTAATACACAGATTAATTCTGTATATTAGGTACACAGAGTGTATGTTTTACTTATACTGAATTTTCAGAACATCTGGTAGCAGTAGGCCTTTTTCACAGAAGACAGGTCTACACAAACTGCTTCATTTTTCAGGGTCCTGGTGCGTGCTAGCTCACTGTCACACTGTCACAGCTTAATGGGACACTTGAATAGAACTGAGCCCTCATTAATGCTATTAGTAGCACCAGTACTTTTCCTACTATGACATGTCAAAATGTCTGCTGTGACAAAGGCCTATCACTAATATATTTGGTTATATGTACCTTTACTATATTACATACAGATGTATTTCATACAATGTAAGAATTCTGACGAATGTCAATTTTTTATAATATCTTTGCTCCAATAATTTTCCGATTAAGGTTAATTTGTCATATTGTCAATATGACTACATGCTGAACCTGTTGTGAACTAATATATGTGTATATTATATTAGAAGTTTACATTTCTAAAGAAACAATTGTGTGTATATGGATTTGTGTGTGCACATGAACTCACAGTGGTTTGTGCTAACATGTGCGTATGCATGTTTGTATGCAGGACTATTTTTGAACACTTAGGGGCAGTGCAGATCAACAGGCAGGAGGGAGAGGCTGCATGAAAGAAATGTAGGTCCACAGGAGGTTGAGGAGAGTGTAGGCTTTGTGGTGGAGGAGGATGAAGCCGCATATCTTCTCTCGAAAGTCGTCATGTAACGGGAAAATCTATCTATAGTGGGGTTTTGTGTCATGGGAGGGGACGATGAGACACATTGTGAGCAAGGAAGGCAGAGAGAGAAAGTAGGAGAGACAGCAGGACAGCAGAATCTACACAACTAGACAGAAGCAGTGAGAAAGAGTGGGAAATCTTTGCAGATGTAATTTGTGGAGGTGTGAGGGAGAGGAAGAGAGGCAACATGATGCGCTCTCGACAGGTAGAAAGACAGGATTTGCAGGCAAGAGTACATTTATACAGATGTAGTTTATGAAGGTATGGAAAAGAGATGCATCTAAAGAGACAATACAGACTAAGAGAAAGGTGGATTTCATGGAAATACAGAAAAGATGGTCGAGAACTAGTCGGCGACACAGAGAGAAGAGAAAAACAGCAAGGGAACGCTGCCCATGGGGGGACATGCAAACTGCATCATCAGCTCCCTAATGAGGGGTCATTAAATCGTTCATCAGGCACACACAATCACAGCTCCTAACGCCGTGCCTCAGTGGCTGGGCTACGCTCCACCACCCTAATGGTCATTGATGGAGTACTTTCAGTCAGAGCAGAGAAGTGCCTTTTGTACACAACAGGACGCTCCCCAGCCTCAAAACCACACCATCACGTGAAAACACACCGAGTTCAGCAGTCGCAGCCAAGTGAGGAAATCAAATGCCACAGAACTGGTCCTTTGAGATACTGCAAATTTTCTATGCTTTGTTTTCTCATGTGTGAATACCCAGAATCCCAGCCAAGAGACAGGGGAGAAAAAAAAGCATCCTAAAAGTTTCCTACTCAGAACCATTCTCTCTCATGCATGTGGAGTTGCAGATTAACACCGTGCCTCGTCAAATGAGGGATGGGGCTGTACCTTAAAGGATTCAAAGAAGCCTCCTCCTCCTCCGCCTCCTCCGCCCCCGTTCTCCAGCTTATCTTCGTCTCCACCCAGACCCATCATGGACTGGCTGTTAATGTGCAGCTCCTCATAGAGAGTCTCCAACAGGGCTGAGCGTGTGCGCTCCTGAAAACAACAACACAGTCCATTTGCACAGGTACTAACAGTAACTATGAAATATAAAATTTGAGTTAGTTCATCAATTCAAATAAAGGGATATGGCTGCCACTCATTACACTTATATGACAGCACCACATCAGGATGACAGACATTATCACTACAGCTCATTTGCATCGTGGCTGTTGTTCAAGAAGGATTAGATGACGATAAATCTGTGTTCACTTGAAATCACAATACAGCCAGCAGGATGCACACTTATGCGAACTGGCATGTGCTCAAGTATTCACACATATACACACACTACAGGTATTCACACTTCCATGGCGCAGGCTGCATTGCAACACTCTTCTCACCTCAAGCTTAGCAAACTTCTCAGCTTTGTAGCAGGCATACTCTGCATTGATGAGCTTGGTAAACAGGAACTCACGAAACTCGTGGCCCTGAGGAAGGCAGACAGAGAAGAAATGTTTATGACATCTGCTTGTAAAGGGGAATTGAGTTTATGAATTTTTGTGATTGCTAACCTTTTTGAAGATGGCAGGGTCAGGCAGGGCAGGCCCAAAGAAAGGTACATCATCCCGCGCTGTCACAGACACCTGTAGAAGAAAGCAGGTCAGCACAGTCTATGATACACTGATAGACGTTAAACATGCTCCTTTTTAGGGCCACACAGTAGTATAAAAACTCCTGAATAATGTATGAGTGAATTTAAAATTGGATTTTACTGGTGAGATGTTTTTGCTACAGTATTGGCTGTCCTCGAAACCAACCTTGTAGGTGACATTATCCGTGCATGCATTCTCCACCTGCACCACCACATACGCATGCAGGAAGTTGGACTGGATCATGTCTGGTACAAAGGGCGTGTTCTCCTCCTGGAACACGATGGCTACAATGTCGTTGCCTATGTGCCTCTTCCTCTGCAGCTGGATGGCACAGATAAACAAAACTAACAACAGTGGAAACATCTCAAATAACCAGTTAGAGAATCAAAAACACAGACCCGTCACAGAATCACTTCCAGGACTCGCACTGAGAATCAAGATTGACTGAGAATAAATATAGTCCCAGCAAAGAGGTGGACATGACTTTGATCTAAGAGCTCAACCTCTTCCCTTAGATGTATGACAACCTAGTATTACACAACTATCAGCCCAAAAAAATTAAATGTGTCTGTAATCTTGAAGCTTGTGCTTACATATCCATATCTGAATTTATTACAAAAATGAAATACATACACAAAAAATAGTATAACTCATGGATGTCCATAACATCTATGAAAGTGTATACTGACCTATACACCTAGCTTTCAAAATTATTAAAGGGGTGGAAATGAATTCATCTGAATACCAATCGAGGAACTGCAAAGTCAAAGAAAAATGGTTTATGATTCTGCAGATGGTTGACAGCGACCCAAAACATCGCTGCTGAATAGTTGCATTTTCTTGTTGCCAAAACGCTTACAAGTTGCCAAAAGGACACTCGTGCAATTGAAGGACAGAGTGCCCAAATTTTTATCCAAGCAATATCTTTTAAAAGTCTTGGTGCTGCCAAGTGTTAGGGACACCTTCTTTCTCTGCCTGAATATGAATCTATGTTGTCACATCCTTGCCTTTTGCTAGGAACTCTAATTTAGACCCGTAAGCTCCTACAAATATCAGAGAAAATTTGACTTTGTTCCGCTTCTTGTGAAAATTCCTCAAATTACAAACATGGCAACATATGCGTAATTCGAATTTTGCAGTAGATGGGGCAAATTTCCTCTTTGAGACTTGATAGATACTGCCCCAGAAATGTCTTGGCAAAGAGAAAAATACTGGAATGGAAATAGATCCTTTTCATTCAGACACTGTGACCCAAACCATTCTACAGAATGTAAGTGGAAGCAAATATATCAGATTTTGTAAACAGTTACAGGTTGGTGACAAACAGAAATGCTTAAGTCAAAAATATAGATAGACCCAGCTCCCATGTTCCTCCTCAGTTGCCTCAACATCGTGATATGAGTGCTGCAGCAAGTGTTGATAACACTCTGTCAGTCATCACGCTATTTAACACACTTAAGTACACATTTAACAAAGCCACTTCACACGTGTTGCTATTACCTAGTGTTAGCTGGAGCTGCTCTAAAATGTCTCCAGAGTTGACCAATTGTGTGCACAGTAAATATTTACTCTGGGATTTATAGATGATTCTTTTCCAGTTAGCAGTCCAATTACTTTACAGACTGTGTCCGTTAAAGACAGTCTGTTGTTCACATGAGAACAATCAACCATCTGTTTCAAGCCCTGGTAAAGCTTTCATAATTTGCTGAAGTCAGAACAGTACAAGTACTAAGAAAATGGAAAATGTTTCATATATTTGAAAGGGAGTAAGAGTAATTTCTACTACTAATTTCCATTGTAATTGCTAGATAGTATCTGAATGCAGCAATTCTAAACACAGGTTTCAAAGCAAAATAACACACAATTTTAGAGAAAATTGACATAAATGACCAGTACGTAGTAGAGAAAACAACCTGACCATATTTGATTTATTTAAAGATTAAAGTTTTAGTTATATCTTTGTTAAGACGTATTTTTAAGACAGTGATGAAGGCTGGGAGTGAAAAGATCCATGTGGCTACAGAGGCAGGGCAGCCAGGTTACTACTGCATCATCCCTGAGCTTATGAGCTGTCAGCATTAATATTTACTCACACAGGGGCATTCTGAACCCTGATGGCTGAATAACATTCATCCCTCTTTCTCTATGCAGATGGACTTCCCCACTCACCACAGACAGTCAGACACTTAAAAATAAACTCAGAAAGTGTGGGGCTGGATGGAGACACCTAGAACCTGTAAATATAATATATATAGACATTCAGTTACATCTATTTACATTATTCTGCACTTTCTCCCTCCTAAATTAATGCTATGTTATTACAGTTGCACCTTGCCTCCTTTTCTTGACTTCCCTCATGAATCATCCCACGTGGGTGTTGTTTATGTCCTATGTTTCTCTTCATGCCAAGGCAATATGGACAGTCTGTGTTTGGGTTACTGTGGTAACAACGTTCAAACCACTGTATGAGGCAGTGAAGAGCAGCTGAAGACTAATGCAGCTTACAGCAACATCGCATCAAAGAGATGAAAGTCTCCAGCCACAAAGCAACAGCAGAGAAACTTCAATGCCAGTGCAGAGCACTGCAATGCTAGTGGATCCTCAACATTTATTCTCTTGGACGCCAGGGTAAGCGAGGACATCAGATCTGCAAACCCAAACACTTTTAAGCAAGAAAAGGAAGGTTTCTACATATTCACTTTAATTTGTTAAAGGGATAGTTCAACATTTTGGGATATAAATTTATTTGCTTTCTTGCTGTGAATTAGATTATTACCATAGATTAATACCACTGTTGTGTCAGTACAGTAAATCTCAAGGTACCCTCACCAGCCAATTAGCTTAGCTTAGCACAAAGACTGGAAACAGCTAGCTCTGTCTAAGGTGGCAAAACCAGCTTACCAGCACCTATTACGCTCACTAATTAACATGTTATATCTTGTTTGTTTAGTCTTTAAGAAAAAAAAGTCAAAATGACAATTTGTACAGGGCTGGCTAAGAAATAGTAATGTCTTACTTCATCAACATTAACTTAAAAGACCTTGATCTGGATTTTACAGTCCTGACCTATTAGCTGCTGCTGCGGATGCATGGAGGAGTCACAAGGAGAGGCCATTACAAATCAGTTAGTAAAGGACAATGAAAACCGCCCTGAAAATACAAATTAGTTACCCTGATGATTAATCATTGGAATGTCACCATACCTGCTGTGAGTCTCCTTCTGTGTAAGGCAGCTTGGTGGACACATGAAACATAATCTCCTTATTATGGAAACTTGTGTAGACAGATTCTGTCCCTGTCTGTCCATGAGTGACATCCAGCCCACCCCGAAACCTGGAGAAGAAAAGGAGAAGAAGAAAGAGGAAATTAAAGGGCAAAGGTAAGAAAAAAGAGAGAGCAGAAAAACAAGGGGGGAAAAAAATAAGTAAAGGCAAAGAGAGGACTGAGGTGAACAGTCAAGAGGAAGACAGAAGAGAGACAAAGCGGTGTTAGGAATGGAACATAAGAGCTTGCTCTCAGAGCACCTGGTCCATCCACGCTCATCCATCATTGAGGGAATGCCAAGGGCACTTTGCCTGCCTCCTCAATCACAATGTCAGCAACACTACAAATATCACGACACTCTAAATCGCTTTTTCAGGGATTCATTTAAAGCCAACCCTGATCAATTGCAAAGTGAATGATGGTCTGTTTCTGACAGACATGAGGTGGAACGCTATGCTGAGAATTAACCATAAGTGCTGCTGAGAAAACTGAATGAAATTGAACTGAAAAGTGTCCAAACCCTTTAAAGTCATGAAGCTCAATCTTGTGGCCCAGAAACTCCAACAACTCAACAAAGGCCGGACTTTCTTCCATGTTCCCAAACAGCTCTTCCTCTGATGTCTGAGTGGAGGAAGCACAGGACATTTTCAGAAGGAGTGACACGTGACTTTAAAAGCAAAGATTAGCAGTAGTATCTCTGTAGCAAACTCACCTGGCCAAACTTTTGATAAATAACCCCAAACTTGAAGTTGTTGCTGATCACATGCTCATCAAAGGTCACAATAAGCCTTGATGCCTGAGGAGAATAGGAAGTTTCCAGTCAGGTTCTTGTAGATTATGTTGATGGATAAAGTGATATTTGGAAAAATCATAATGAAGACTAGGGAATACCTTTGGGTATAGGACAGGATAAAACCTATCCACATTTACTTCTTCACAAACAAGCTGTAAGTGTAAAAAAAGTATATTCAGCTTTTCTCATTACAAACAAAATACTGAAATGTTGTTTTATGACTATGTTCTGTGCCATACCTTGGCCATCTGAACCACATTGGGGAACTCGGTAAGGCAGGAAATGGGAATCACATCATGGTAGGTTTTTAGCTTTGTGCTGAAAGGCAAACAATTTGAAAAGTTTAAATGCTTATTGTTAGCTTACTGATACAAAAGCAATACGCCTGCTTTCATGATTTCTTTCTTTGATGCTTTATGCAAGTGCATTTCCATTTCAAAGGGGACCTTTCCTATAGATGCTGTGTGGTGCTGGGAGCATTATGGTTTTTACATGTGATGTGTTTGAAGCAAGATGGCCTAAGAGAGGGTTGAATGGGCATCATTGCTTTTTAGAGGGTCCCTGCTTTATCTACAAAGTGTGTTATAAAGTGATCCATGTCTAGAAAATTGATGTTATAATAGCTACATTACTGGGATAACTACTACTACTGTTCACTTCCTTGTTGCCCCTAAAGCATCACAATACAATAGCCTACAGCATACAATAAACTGGCAGGCCTGTTAAGCTTTGTGTTTCTCCAAATGCTGAAGCCGTGTGCATTGAAAGTTGGTGTGCATGGAGAGTGGTGTCTTTTTTTAGCCTTTCCAAAACCAAAATAGTAAGGAATGGTTTGAAATGTATGTGCTCTAACGGAAGCTGCAATCTTTAGCATGTCTGGCTAACTACAGTGACCCAGTGTTACTCCCAAGGCTAGGGGGCACGTCATTAACTAAATAAGTGACATTAGTTTGTGGGCTTATAGGTTGCATTACAAATCTCCATTCACAGCAAGCACATCCACTATGCAGTATCTCCAGCTGAAGCTGGTCCTGGATGCTCTCAGACGTTAGGGTAATATAAGCAGCCCTGTCCTGCTTTTTGCTGGTTGCCAACATTACCAGTGGTACACACATGTTAGTCCTGTTCCTAAAAGCTTTTTCTCCTGTAACATCAAAAGTGAAAACATTCTGTTTGATAACAGGAACAAAAAGCCTAGTGTGTGTATGCTGAGAAGCCAAACAGGTTTATATTAGAATAAATAACAGACTAATCATAGATTTTTCCTGCAATGTGCAATACAAGAAATATGCTGTTTCGTTTATTTCCATGTGCACATGACTCATAAACTGGTGAGGACGCTGTCTTTAAGCCCAATATAATTCTTGTTTTAAAATGAGAACTGAAACATTAAAAAGTCAGCCAGAGACAGCATTTCCAACCAACTCATGGAGCTAATGTTACCTTAATAGGCTAACATCAATGATTGCCAGTTGTAAGAAGCTTGCTTTTGTCTCCCTCTGTCTGAAATTAAGGACCAATTTATTTTTAAAGTCCTAAAAATGTTGGATGGTTAACCTGCCAGTATTATCATAGAAAACCGCTGTGTGAGAAACAGAAAGCTTATAGTAACTAAGGGGAGTGGGGCTTAAGTCCTAACAACCTGACATCTTTATGTATGCTAAGGTGTGCTAGAGATGCATTAATATGGACTGTGAGTCAGTGCCTGTGACTACACAGCAAGGTGACTGAGTTTGGCTGGGGTTGATGAGGTGACTGTGGGTAGTGCCTACCCAGTGGAAAACATCACTATGTGAAAAATGTGGTGGGCCGAGTGACTGGTACCTCGTGACATACTCATCTACTCTAAAGCTCCATTAACAAAGAGGCAATGCAGCTATTAAAATCTGGAGTGGAGTCTCTTGGGTGCTAAAATTAATTCACAGGTTATTTGGTGCATTGAGTTCTGCCTTTCTCCCCCTCGTCTGTCTTTAGCAGAATGTGAGGGAGAAGAGAGCATTTCAGTGAGTGAGCACGAGTTTGGGTGATGGTGGGTGGGACGCATTACACTTGTACAACAGAGATGAATAGTGCGCTGATTGTTGAGTACTTTGTGGCACAGTTTTCTAAGTCAACATTTATGCAGAGAAACTTGACTGTTTATTCTGTGCCACACAAACATTTTAACACTTTTATTTATACTCTTATTATTACCCAAACTCCCAGAACATAAATTACTGACAAATCTCTGTTGGTCCCTGGTGTGTGTTTTGTTGTGGTTCTATGACAAAAAAAAAGACATTTTCCAAATCTGCGATGGTATTATTATTTCAAAGATTAGTTGAATTATGAATTTGAATCAGTTTTCTTTGATAACAGTAATCGTTTAGGAATACATCTATTTTTAGGGTATTTATTGTTATATAGCTGCATATAGGTGAAAAACTAGTTTCACCTTTTTAAAAAAAAAAAAAAGACCACTAGAGGCTTCATGAGGAGCGGATTTCCCCAAAATCAGGCATTATGAATAAAGATAAGATATAGAAGATAAGTAGATTAATAAAAGTTACACTTTTTTAACAGTAGCGACTTGGCTATTTAATTGAAGATTAAATTGATGAGAAATTGTATTGGGTGCCCTCTGACTGCAGGGGCTTCCAGCAGCACTGCCTATTATCGCAATTGAGCTGGAAAATACATTTTAAAACTCATTACGAATGCAACCTGCGAGAATTGAGAGGCTTTTCTTGCTCTGTGTCATTGTTACTCAACTAAATGCTATTCTTCAGCAAAATAAAATAATCCATCCATGACAGTCAGCCATGTGTGAAACTATTCTATATGGGACGGTTCTGTTTGAGAGACCTATGAGGAAATGCCAGAAATCACTGCATTACAATTTGAAGCAGGGTTGTTGTGAGTGCAATGCGAGAAAAGGGCCACAGAGAGAGAGAGAAACACAGAAAGAGAAACAAAAAAAGGGAAAATTGAGTAAAGGCAATGGATGTTGCAAAGGAGAAGATTAATAAGGAACATGTGACAAAAAAGCACAAATGGGACAGAAAAGAGGTCAGATATAAGATAATAGGAAATTGTACCGAAGCATCAAGCGCAGATGCTCTTGATCCCCAATGACATCGTACTTCATGGAAAAGACCAAGTGGCCCAGGGCAGCATCCATGGTGTAATAATTAAAATGTTCCTAAGGGCAGATAAGCAGAAGAAACTTTAATGCAAAAAAGAATATCCCTCTAGCAACTGACAGTGGGTGACACAATAATAAAAAAGGCTAAAATAAATTAGAAATGGAGAGGGGTAAGGAGAGTAACAGTCTTTTAATTAAGGAAAGTAGCTGAATTACCCTTGAGGAAAAGGTACATTGTATCAACTGAACACAACGCTTAGATGTAAAACAGATATACTGTATTTACAACTAGGCAATTTGTCTCACAGTTTAGGGTCATATAACATAACATGGTGACATTGAGTATTGATGATCTCACTTTGTGTTTTTTTTGCTTCATCATTTTGTGAGACAATACTGTAGTAGTATTGACACAAGTAAAGGTTTTCAAAGGGAACGCAGACTTTTCATGTCACAAGCAACAGTTTTTTTGCAAGGCCAACATGTTGTAAGTAGTTGGAAAGGTAATGGAAGGATAAATAACCCACACACAGACGAACCCTCACACAAACTCAGATATTTTTTTCTTTGCCTTCAGTCCCACTTGACAAAATCTTAAACTGAGCTCTAGAATTTCGATTACTTCCAAATTCATAATTCTTAAAAATGTTTTTATTTTATGATACATTTTTCAGAGGCAAATGTTATTTCAAATTGCATTGCATTGCATTCAAATATCAGGCAAGTAAAAGTAAGAAAACAGAAAACAACACCCTTTCCCAAACCAAATTCTATATTTCAAGATGGTAATTGCACTGTCAATACTCTCAGCTGTTTTGTAATGCATAAAACCAGACCCCTATTTTTCTCCATCCTTACCTTTCCCATGAAATGCTTCCTGTAGATCTTGGCAGTGCTGTTTGTCTCCAGTTTGATGTGGGAGGCAGGACAGGGCGGTTGATCAGCCTCTGGTGGGTCTTTTGGTTCATGATTGGTCCCCTCAATCCAGTATCCTCCAAACTGGGGCAGCAGGATGAGTGGAAAAGGGCTAGTGCGACCCAGAACCTGAAAGTGATGGACAATAAAAAGAATTTTGCTTTGTTTTACCTTTTTGAAGCTTTAGCTTTACAGATTCTGACATCTATAAAACATATTATTTGTACGGAGAGTTCACTGTATGTACCTCATGAACGCTGGGATAAGGGATGTAGTCCTCTTCCGTCTGCAGGCAGGGAAACCAATATGAGTCAACCTGACAAACAGCCGCTTCTAGTCATACTTTCAGTTTTGGTTCTTTGAGGAAAATAACAATGAGCATGAACACTGTGACAGAATATTAACTAAGGCATCATCCAGTTCTACATTTTATTTTTCAGGGTTACTTTTCTTATCCTGCGAACATAACAGAGGCCACATTAGCGGCCTTTCTGACAAATCCCATACATTCCTTGCTAATGAATACATAAACCTTTCTGTTAGCAAGCAACAGTTATCTGACGCTTCAATCTGCCATTTGCTTAAAGTTGAAATTTTTTATATCCTCCAAAGACTGCAAATCATTTTTGACATGAAAAAGGGACAACACATAACATGGATCCATGTGCTGGTGCTAGAGAAGCTGTAACTTTAAGTTACTAGGAGTTAATGCATGCAGTACTATCTAAAACACATAATTAGACATCACATGGCCTAATGCATTTAATTTCTTATTTCACCTCTGTTTTTCAGTCATTGTGTAATTTATCTGTGATGTTCGTTTCATTCCTGTGAAAAAACTGTGATATCATGTTGCAATTTACTTTTTTGGCGAACCCACTTTCCCTCTTGCCTGATATCAGACAGAATTGCCAACTCGATGGAGTGGGCGAATTCGAAGGTCTGCACCCAGGCAACTTTCTCTCAATTTCAGACAGTGATTTTCTCCATTTCCAGAAAAATGCCTTTCAACAACCCGTGCAGAGCATGCCCGGACTTGTACCATTACAAGTTATAGGCTATGTGTCAGATCTGAGAGCAAGAGCAAAGAAGCATATATGTATATATATGTATGGTTATCGAGACATTTGGATTAAAAACAGTAATGTCAAACATATAGTGGCGCTAGAGGAAATGTCAGGGGATCGCTCAGTAGTCTGTAGTTCACACCATGACTGTCTGTACAAAAACAAGAGATATTTCAGTTGGGTCCAAAGTAGTGAAATGACTATCAGATTGACACTGTCCTCCATACAGGGAGGCTAAAAATACAAGGTCTAGACAGAAGCTGTTGCTCATTGTAGCACTTTAAAAAAAAGCCAGTCTCCACTGTACCGCCATAATATTGTCTACATTTGAGCAGGAAACAAGGAAATATGTGTCTGTCCACATACATTTGTATAGATTTGGACCAAGGCTGTTTAAACAGTATGAGCTGGGCCTATTAGTGCTAATTAAGGAAAACCTAACAAGACATAATAACATTTTAGACCATAGTGTGCTTCCAACTAAATGGCAGCCGTTTACAGAAGGCCCTTTCCTGTTTCAACAAGGCACTACCCCCATGCAGAAAGCCAGAAATGGTTATCTAAGGTTGTTGTGAAAGAACTGCACAGAAGTTCTCGACCTCAACCCCATTCAACACCTTGGGGATGAACTGTAATGCGGACAGGGAGCCAGGCCCATTATCAGTGCCCGACCTCACTAATGCTGTTGTGGTTGAATGGAAACAACACCCTAAAGCTGGATTCAAACATTGTGTGGAAAGCCAAAAAGAACTGAGGACATTTACTGCAGCATATTAATGCCCATAGAATGAAGTGTTTAACAATCACTCATGGGGGAACTGTTCGGTGTCTACATACTTTTTGCCATCATTAACAGCTAAATCGTGGAGTGTAATTTTTATAGGGTGACATTTACCTTTACTTATCTATGCCAATAGGACTGGAGAACACTGTATAGAATTATTATTATCTTCAAACTCTAAAACCACATTAAACATATTAGAGGGTAGTCAAACCCTGACCAGATTACCTGATTGTTGTCAGTCTGCAACAATAAATGGTTTTATGCTCTTCTTTCAGATGATTACTATCTGTTGCGTGCCCTTTACTGACTTGACCTCACACCTGCTGAGAGTATCTCCCGGTCTTCAATTCCAACTGCATTAGCCTGTCTAGGTAATCGGACAGCTTAGGATTTTACAGTCCTAGTCCCCGTCAAGTTCCTTACTCAGTCGGTGAGCATCCTAAAGCCTGTCTGACAGCTGATAAGGAAAGGTTTATAACTCTGCCATTACGGATGCTTTACCAGACTGTGGTCTATGAGGAGATGTGAGGATTTGCGACTCACTTTGAGGGGCGGAGGGAGGGGGCATCTTTGCTCATCCATTCTGCAACCCTGTAGAGAGAAAGAGGGGAAAAAAGGATAGGCTGAGATGGGCAAAGATAAAGACAAAGAGACACATACACAGAATATATAAAATTGTCAAATTCCAATTTAATTTCTTGTTAAGCAGCATAGTGTAAAGCAATTCTGTGTGACAATAATTCATATTTATATAACACAAGCTCAATCAGCAGATGGGCCACAGAAAGGGGAAGTAAAGAAGAGTGATATCTTAGGGGCTATAGTGAGTGAAAAAGATAAGCAGAGGTTCATGAGAACAAGGAAGGTGTTTCCATCAAGCTGCAGATATCATTAACCACAACTCCACGTAGGGGCCAAAAAGAGCCAAAATAGGGCCTTCTATCTACTCTATCAGCTGACTCTACTGACTACTGACAGTTCCCAAAGCACAGAGAGAGATGAATAACAAAGCATTCCTGATCAGTGGGCCTTTTGTGTGGAATACCCTGCAGCATGATTTGAAATGTATCAAATTTGATTTTTTTAGGACTAAGGAAGATGAATCAAATGGAAATTGGAAATGCTTTCATTAAATTCATTCTTTGAAGACTAGTCTACTGCTTCTGTTTCTCTTTTCCTCCCTCATTCCCTTTACTTTTTGTTGGAGAATATATATGCATTGGTAATATTAAAATATGCTACTGTTGTCTGCAACTCAATAGTGCTGCACCTGTGCTGTCCTGAACAAACAAAATAAATAGGGTTTGAATTCCCCTAAAAATGTCCAAGTAAACACTTTGGAAATTACAGTTAAAATGAATGCATTACTAATATGTATCTTCACGCCTAGACAGCACGCCTTTTATACATGTGAGTCTTCTTGGTTCCAGCAGTAACTTGTGTTACGTATGTTGTTGTTGTTTGAGCCTCTACAGTGCTTTACATATTATAAACCTAAATAATGTTTAGGTAGATGTTAGTATTTTATGCTTCCCCCTATATTTTATCATAGTAGGGTATTTAGATTAAAATGGTGTTCCAGCATTTCAGAATCTGGTTAAGTTGACCCTGACACAGCAACACCAAAGCTAAAAGGTAAATTTTATACAGTCTTCAACCAGTTAGGAGAGAATAAAATATCTATTGTCAGTTCACAGACCGCATTCAAGATCAAAAGGCAGAAAAAAGGTAACTATATTATAATTCAGTTATAATTCAAAGAAACTCGCAGATCAAAGTATCTGTTTAAACCAGGGTCAGCAACACAATGCAAACATTGCAACATATTTGAGCCTTATAATGCTTTTCTCGCTGCAGATCAAGCATACACAGTGTTGAAAACAAACAAATCTGTCCAGGCACTATTAAATTCTTAATTTCACTTTCACTTCAGACTAGTAGCCATCGTTATTGATGCAAGATATCTCTATATTTATTTATTTTATTTATTTATCTATATTTAAAAGGCTGCAGGTCAGGACATAACATATGACTAGAGAAAAGCAAAAGAGCCGCATGTGGCTCCAGGTTGCCTTCTCTTCGGTTTAAACACTATTGATCTCTATCCAGTTTATTCAGAAACCACTGTTCTTTCTTCTGGTTCATGTAATAGGTTTAACATCACAGGTTACAAACAAACTACATTCCTACAAATCCACCTCAGCATATTGAAAAACATAACAACATTTCACACATCTGATGATGCAGAAACAACTACACAGCTGTGAAGAGAAAACACAAGGGCCCTGTTCAGTACATTCAGAAGCATCAGGTTTCTAAAGACAGCCTGGGGCTGTCACTGCTGCAAATACCAAAAAACACATTATTGGCAAAGAGAGCAATACATGGACACACACATAAAAGTGTTGCAGTAGCAGGGTTGTGATCTGGAATACAAAAATAGCAGGAAAAGCAGAGAAACAGGAGTCTTAAAATAGAAGCAAATGGAAGTTTTATGTCCAAAAGCGAGTGATATTCTGAGGATGCTCTGTGATTAAAGCCTGGTAGAAAGAACGGACGAGTTTGGGCAGCAGGCAGAGCCTGGGGACCACTTACAGTACCTGAATTTTCTCGATCATGGCAAACAGGTCCGAGGTCTGGGGAAGAGAATTGACACAGATCCAAAAAGGGATATAGGTTGAGTTAATATGCTTTCCCTGCTGTCTTCACTCATCTATCATCTCTGCTCATTGTGAGGTGGCTATGCAATCTCAAGACACAAGACCCCCTGTTGGAATCTCTGACACCCCTTAATTCTTTATTTAACTATGACATGCATCCCCCACCCGACTTGACACCAGCCCCACTGAGGCTCAATTGAACTAAAGGAGAATCGTTCCTCCACGCTTGCAGACAAACACATTGTAAACAAGTAACTCTTAGGGGAAAATGAGCCTCAAAGCTCCACGGTGCCTCTCACTGTTGCTACAGCCAACAGCTCATCTGACTGCGTGCAATGGCCAAATTAGCTGGAGAACACTATGGTTTCGGTGTCTGGGCACACAGTCACATTAATGTGTGAATGAGACACACTTAACATACAAAGTAGCAGGAAAGAGTGTACAAGGCAGGAAATAAAAATAAATTGACATGGATGATCTGGCAACTGGGTTTCATATCAACCGTGGTATAATCTTGATTTTGTGTAATCAACATGTGTCCAGGTGGTGATACTAGTGCTGCTCATTAGACAAAGAGGCTTCAATCCAGCTACTGGATTTATAATTACACCTCCACCATCCACTGCCACAAAACATAATTCAGTGTTTTGTTCAATTAACAGAGGTACTGGTACGGGATAAAGTAGATGAAAACACCCTCAGGCATGCATTTCTCATCTGCAGAGGCCACTTTATGGATTTGCCGCTCAAACCTGCAATGAAGAGGATCGCAACAGCCCTGATGGCACTGCTTGTTGTGGGGTGAGCCCTCTGTTCACCATGTAACACAAGTGGACTGAAGTGCCAAGCTGATGTTTCCACATGACAGCTTAAATTTACTGAGGGGCACTGCAGGGCTTGCAAAACACACACACACACACACACACACACAAAACCATGGAAAAGCGTACACGTGCACGCATATAAACATTTCCACACATGCATGTACTATAACGTAGTTGTAAAGTTGAACACACACATATCCCCACCCATAAAAGCACACTCACACAAACACACACACACGCACCTGACCGTTGTAAAGCCAAGGGTGCAGCCTCAGTCTATTGTTGCATGTGAAAATAAACAGTGCCATATGATATTCAGGGAGATACTGCTCTTCTGACCGCAAAACAAACATCAACAAACATTGTTCTTATGCTGAGCAGATTATCAGTGAACCACAGAGACGGAATATCTCCTGAGAAGGAAAGGAAGCAAGAGCAATACACTCCTGGATGTTGAAGTTGCTGTTTTAGTGCAGCTGAATGTGAACCACAGCTGTGTACATATATGTCCAATATAAAATAGCATAACTAGAGAATTTGCTAATTGTATTTTACATGCTATTATCAGATGTCCGACTCTGTCTGTGAGGGCTAAAAACATATTCCAGAGCAGTGGAGCATGAATCTATCTCTACAATGATAGATTTTTGTACAATGTACAAAATCCAATATTTACTGTTCTGCAGCACCAAACATATATATTTCTGTCTCTAAGCTACCTTAAGAATTAAACAAGCAACAATAACTGGAGCGAAGATAATGTCTCACTTCCAGCAAGTGAAAAATACTCACATCACTGAGGCATCGTCTCTTGAGAAAAGGCTTACTGGGGGGACTGCTGTGCAGTCCATCCAATAAGGCATTCTTAGCTATCCTGAACTCAGTCATCATTCCACAAGTACAAATGCAGGCAAGCTGACAAGAGCGAGGGCGTTGATGTCACTGTCAGCCACAAGGAGAAAGGCGAGATTGACAGAGACACTTCACACTCACTGTCGCTCAGGCAATAAACTAGGAGAGAAAAACTTGATAGCTGTCCATCAGAATCCATACATCAGTGTGTGAGGTAAAAGCACATGCTGTAATGTGAGAATATCATTTCCCTTCCTTCCCTTTTTTTATGCCCCCCACCCTTCCATAGACACACAGCTGTTCAGTAGGAAGTAGGAGGAAGGGAGGAACAATGTTTCTCCCCTCCCTGTCTGCTCTGCAGAACTATCTTCTCTTTTTATTGCAAACACACGCACACACAGACACACCCACTTACATGTTCACACACCAAAAACAGTACAGTTCTCTTTTCTGTATCACAATATGAGAGTATTCTCTTCCTCTTTTCTTTCATCTCATATTTCTCAACCCTCCCTCTCAGAAACACGTCTCTGCTCCACACAGCAGCAGACATCACCATTAAAATTGTAGGCATTTATTTTACTTCTAAGGCAATTAAGAACAAACCTAGAAATGTCCATACATTTTACAGTTTATGTTTCCATGCTTTTTACACCACACT